AGCATAACGATAGTTATTTATTAAATAAATATTTTACTAAATGTCAAATAATAGCCACGGTAAATAAGTAGACCATTCTCTTAAATTTCATTTTGATCCTCGTTAACTTGTAAACTAAATTTTATAGATCAAAGAAAAAAAGTGTTGAGGTTGAATCCACTTCTAATAATGATTCCGACCAGGATATATCAGTAAGCCGAAAGGTTTGTTATCATTTGTTTATTATTTTATTAGTGGATTTATAGCATAATAATAGTTATTTACTAAATAATTATTTTATTAAATGTAAATAATAGCCACGGTAATCATTCACTTATATTAAATTTCATTATTACCTTTCGTTTACTATATAACAAGTTTTATAGATCAAAGAAAAAAAGTGTTGAGCTTGAATCCACTTCTCGTAGTGATTCCGACCGTGACATATCAGTAAGCCGAAAGGTTTGTTATCATTTGTTTATTATATTATTAGATTTATAGTATAACATAATTATTTATTAAATAGTTATTTTTTATTAGCCACGGTAAATAAATAGACCATTCTCCTAAACTTCATTATTACCTTCCGTTTACTTATATACTAAATTTTATAGATCAAAGAAAAAAAGTGTTGAGCTTGAATCCACTCATAGTGATTCCGACCAGGATATATCAGTAAGCCGAAAGGTTTGTTATTATATTATTAGATTTATAGTATAACATAATTATTTATTTATTAATTATTTTTTACTAAATGCCAAACAATAGCCACGGTAAATAAGATCATTCTCTTAAATTTCATTATTACCTTCCGTTTACTTATATAACTAAATTTTATAGATCAAAGAAAAAAAGTGTTGAGCTTGAATCCACTCATAGTGATTCCGACCAGGATATATCAGTAAGCCAAAAGGTTTGTTATCATTTGTTTATTATATTATTGGATTTATAGAATAACGATAATTATTTATTAAATAATTATTTTACTAAATGTCGAACAATAGCCACGGTAAAGTAGACCATTCTCTTAAATTTTAAATCTCATTATTATCTTTCGTTTACTTATATGACTTAATTTTATAGATCAAGGAAAAAAAGTGTTGAGCTTGAATCCACTAATAGTGTTTCTGACCAGGATATATCAGAAAGCCGAAAGGTTTGTTATCATTTATTATATTATTATATTTATAGCATAACGATAATTATTTATTAAACAATCATTTTCTAAATGTCAAACAATAGCCACGGTAAATAAGTAGACCGTTCTCTTAAATTTCATTATTACCTTTCGTTTACTTATATAACTAAATTTTATAGATCAAAGAAAAAAAGGATTATCCTTGAATCTTCTAGTAGTGGTTCCGACCAGTAATGGAAAAAGCCGGCTGATGCTAATTTTTCAAACCGTTAGATCGATTTTCTAAAATAATAATTCACGAATAAGCTTTTATCATCACAAAAAGTTTTTTTTTTAAAAAAAAAAAAAAATAGTAATAATTCGTTATAATAAACTCTTTAAACATTTTGTTCCCTTCTGGCAAATGAGTGTATCGACTATATTTGTTTTTAAATCGATCTGTACTACATCGATCTGCGTAATTTAGGGCGTATAGTGCAGTTCATATAATGATCACTACTATTTTTGTATATAGTAGTAAAACAAGCTGTTGAACCAGAGAATCCACCCAAATAAATTATATTTGTCGGGTTCGTTATAATGTGCTCAACGCTCTTTTTTTTGTCTGGGAAATAATGTAATACCAAAATTCTCGTTTTTGATTATTTGTTAAAAATATCTAAAACGTACGTAGCTATTGCAAAACTATTAATTATCGTTGATCTATAAAAATCAAACATTAACGTTATATGACCTGCACTATATTTGTAAGACTGATCATTCTACGGACTTCAAAATGGACAAATCATCCATACAAAATATCGATATAACAAAATAACATTTTCTACGAATCATCTTTAATTAACCGGTTTTTATTTTTAATTATAAATAGATATAAAAAAAATATTAATCAGCAATCATGCTATATTCAATTGTACAATTAAGAGATAGTCAATCTGGGTTTAAAAAATAATCTACGTTCAACTAATGATCCCGTCGTTCACACCGCCATTCATAACAGCCACTCGTGGTACTACCGTCTTTGCTCTTTTTAATTGGCCGAATAAAGGTTAGAAATTTCCTGTATTACTATAAATTTTATTCGCTGTAATAAATAACAACTTAATCCAATATATTTAATAAAGTGTTAACTTTCATTTTGTCTGTTAATTGCGATACATATATATAACTTTACAATCCCCGGCAAAAGTAATAGTGTTTTATGTAGTTTTACTGTATAATAATAGTTAAAATTTTTTTCAAAGAAAAGATGAATATATTTATTATAAACAAAATAAGCCGTGTAACGAACATGAAGACAATTTCGTTTACGACGCCACTATTAAAATTAATTGTAATGTTAGAATTATAATTATCATTGTCATGCCAGAGTCAAAGAACAAAAACTTACTGTAATTGTTAATCTCAAGCTCATCGGGAAGCTCGGTGATAACCACTTCGAATCGTTCTTGAACTTTGTTCAAAATTTCAGCATCTTCAGCATTAGCGACAAACGTGATTGCAGCACCTTTAGTTCCGAAACGTCCGGCACGTCCAACCTAATATTGATAAAATCGTAAGAATTTTGTTCTATAAGCCCAATATTAAAAAAAAACTTACTCTATGTAAATATGTATCTGGACCGTCGGGCATATCGTAATTGACAACGATATTCACACGTTCAATATCGATACCACGGCCGAACACGTCTGTGGCTACCATAATCCTCTTTTGAAAGTCTTTGAACGACTTATATTTCGCGATTCTGAATGAATAAATTGAGTTAGAATTAGTTGCCTGCAAGAAATGCCAAAATTGCTCTAGCATATGAGTATAATTCCTGTTTACCTTTCTTCTTGTTTCATGCCACCATGAATACAAATGCTCGGGAAGTTACAATCACAGAGAAGTTTATTTAACTCATTAGCTCTAGAGACAGATCTTACGAAAATACACACTTGATTGAATTCAAGTGTGTCTAAAAGGTCGTTAAGTTTGCGATTCTTAGCGGATTCTTGTAACTTCACAAAATGTTGTTGAAGACCGTGCAAAGTTAATTTCGTTTCATCGTCAACGTAGATCTCAAGTGGCTGTTAAGTAAACAGTTAGCATAAATAAAATGATGTACTTAATAATAATAATAATAATAATAGTAATAAAACATTAATAAAAGCTTCAAAACCTACGTTTTGCATGAATTTCTTGCAAATCGGTCGGATTTCTTTACTGAGAGTTGCACTGAACATCATGACTTGTTTATTATGTGGTGTTTTTCTAAAGATAGCTTGGACATCACGTCTCATATCTACATAGCAGAATAATAAGATATTAAAAATAGTTAATAAACTTAAGTTAGTTTGTGTTTTTTTTAAAAAAATATATTATATATATATTACTAATATCTTAGATCAGATAATTTATAATCTCATAAGATATTAAATCTTAGACGAGCTGGGTTAAGCTATAAAGTTGTCATCCTAAACTAAGGCCAAGAATAAAATCAATTTATCACCACACTAAACTTACCAAGCTGGTCCAGCATTTTATCACATTCGTCAAGAACGAAATGTTTGACACTACCCACTTTCAAATGACCGTCGTTAACCAAAGCAAGAATTCTTCCAGGTGTGCCAACAACAATGTGTGGAACGGTATCCTTGCTTTGAAACTTTTTGTAGTCTTCTTTAATAGGAATGCCTCCATAAAAAACATCAATCTTGACTTCAGGTGTATATTTGCTAAACCGAGTATATTCGTTCCTAATTTGAAACGCGAGTTCACGAGTGTGGCAAAGAACAATGACCGCAACATCACCAGGAACAGGATCCACTTGCTGAAGCGTAGCTAGCACAAATACCGCAGTTTTTCCCATTCCAGATTTGGCCTGGCAAAGGACATCCATACCAAGAATTGATTGAGGGATACATTCTTGCTGAACTAAAAATTTTTTATTGATAAATAATATTAGAAATTAATCAAATAATTTACACGTTATATGAAAAAAAAAAAAAATACAAACCTTCGGATGGATGTTCAAATCCACAATCAACAATAGCTCGTAACAGTTCTGGTTTCAATAAGAAATCCCTAAAGCCTGTTGAGTGGATACCTACATAACTACCCTTTTTATCCTTCTTATCCTCGTCAGTAGCTTCTTGGCCGTTAGCGGCTAGTTGGTCGCTTGGCACAGCTTCGGTCGGTATGGTTTCATCTTCCTCATCGTAGTCGATTAAGTCGTCGGGGTGGTCAGACATTCTGAGATGATATTCTGATAGACGGTAAACTTAAGTGCAAAATAAAAGGGGTGCAGATTGGCCGTTCACCATATAATGTTTTAGTAACTTTGAGATATAGTAATCGTTCCCCATGACACAACTCCGAATAAAACAAGGTGCCGGCCGCCATATTCTACTGCTCTTTTGCTCATTTGCCCCTAGGGATGTATATAACGACAAATCTAATATGTCTCTATTTCATATCATATTATAGCCAGTCTAACTTCCATGAAGAAACCAATGGCTCTTTTTTTTCTTTTATCAAAGCGAACATAAAAATTTTCATTGCCGACTTGGTAGTTGAATCTTTGATCGCAAAAAAAAAAAAAAAAAAAAAAAAAAAAAAAAAAAAAAAAAAAAAAAGAAAGCGTGGTGTGTGTTGTTAACTGTTGTCGTTCATTCAATCTAATCGTAACGTCGTCGGGTTTGCTCTGGCCTGATATTAAGCACAGAGTATTGGATTGCGAAAGCCTCAAACAAGACATAAATATGACAATATGTCGTCGTTGAAAACTTTGATGCAAACAAACCATCCCTCGCTTCATTCTTCATAACTCGGACAAATAAAAATAAAAAAGACAAAAGCTGTTTGTTGGCGGCTCATCACACTTAGGTACAAGTCTAAAGACGAGTACTTGGTGATAGATCCAAACAGTCGGCAGCGAAAAGAGACGAGAGACCCGAATGTAAAGCCTCCCATCACACCATAAGGGGGGCAGTAAATTCTTTAAAGTCCAAAGGACTTGATATTTAAGTTGGCACGGCTTTGTAACAATATTTGTTTACTTTGAATAGCTCTTATTTAGCCATGAGGACCGGAGAGAGAAAGAGAGCTTTTACAAGCAAGCAGAATCGGCGGTAGTGGCATCTTCGGTCTTCTGCTCATCTCCGGTTTATACAGAGACGACATACCTTTGGATGATGACTTGTTTTGGACGGAAACTTTGGTCTTGCAAAGTAATTAAAAATATAGTAAATAACTACTTCAGTACTTTGTGATGGATGTAAACCTTTTTTTTTTAACGATGAGGAAGTAAGGGAAATTGGAGAATAGAATTGATTTTCTGACCCTTTTATGTAACACACGGAGTAAGCTTGCCGAATAAATCCAGCAAATGTATGTCAGCAAAAAATTACAAATCAACGTCAGCTTTATTCTGAGCCAAAATTATAAAAAACCAACCCACAATACGTATTGGAAGGATTTGAAACAACTAATCAAAATTTATTACGTTGTATTAAGACAAGATATGAACTCGCTTAAACTTAGCCGTCCATGTGATGATTGGTTTTAACCTAGTTTTTAAAACTATGTGATGCTAATCATCACATGGTTTGGACCCTACGTATATATGGCACAGATAAAAATTAGGCATGTCCTAGGGCAGTGTTGTACATTTTAATGTTCGATCTGTTCTAAAATTTTGCGTTATTCGGTGTCAATTTTGTTTCTTTTAGTTAGAAAAAAGATCAGTTTAATATATATATACAGTAAGACCTCCCTAAGTGCACGCCCTATGTAAATTCTCTCTAAATGCACAGCATAGCTTAGCCCCAACTTATAAGAGCATCATGACCTTATCAATGCATGGTGTTCAGTCGTCACATATCATAACTTATGTAAAACGTTAATATATATACCGGTATATATTATATTAGAGATGCCCGATCCTAACAGTTTTCAGCCCAAATTAACCGTAATGCGGGCCAAAAACTGTTAGGATCGACAAACGGTTCGCATCTCTATATTATATAATATATATATAATCTATATAACCATGTATATATATAGTGATAAGGTGCATGATACCTATCTCTAACTATATAACACAGGTCAAAGGATGGCAAACTGGGCACAAATCAGGTACCTGATTTGTGCCTGGTTTGCCATCTTTCGACCTGTGTAAAGTAAATATCGATATATATATATTAAAGTTTATAAAAATATTGTA